TGACAAGATTAATCAGTATAGTTCATATTCTAATAAATACGAGATTTAGATATTAATTTCTTGTTTTGTAACAAACAAATTGTTAAAAGATCTTTCCTTGCTTCGAAGATTATATTGTGAAAGATATAACGGGAGGACAAAAGTTGGACGGTTTGATATTTCTGGCGGAAGTAAACTCCTGGTTTACGATAGCCACCGGCTGGTGCGCATGTCGTTTTCGGAAACGCTTTATTCCGGTGCGCGGGCGTCGCTCAAACGTCAGGTCAGCGAGAGATACCTACATACATACATATGTACGTACGTAGCCGAGCCGCGGTTTCATTGTATCGTAAAATTACGCCAAGTGTGAAAAATACGAGCCACCGAGCATCGAATACTCGCGTTTAGGATCGGTACGGCGCGACGCGTCCCGTCCTCTGAAATACGTCGCGGTAACGGAGACGGTTTTATGGGACGATTTATTTTTGCGAATCTCCGGGAAAAACGTGTCTGGAGGTGGAAACGTTCGGAAAATGTTAGTATGTAGACTACTTACGCGTTAGTCCCACTCCAAAGTCAAAATAGTTGACATCAATATACTAAGAAACGCGAGTATGGTTATTATAAATGCAGAGAAATTTATGCTTCGATGAATTTAATACGATGATAATATAGAATTATCAAAACACTTTACTAGACGAATTCTACTTTAAAAATTGTTCATGTTCTTCCCTTTCAATTTCGTTGAAACTATTCATGATTTATTTGATTTGTTTTACGATTATGATTAATGATTTTAGTTTCTGATGGTTCGTCATATAGTATTGCACTTGTTTTTATCAGATAGCATTTCCCCTTGAAGCTTTTCAGATAGTATCGAATCAGTTTTCAAATGGAAAATAGTGGAAACTAAAATTTTAATTGGTTCGGAAGGAAATAAGAACGCAACAGAATCTGGCTCACATGCATATGTCATTCACGAGGCGGCCGGCCGCGGTCGTTAGCTGCTGGCCATTTAAAACGAATTCACGCCGCCAGTTTTCCATCCCCCTTTTTCATCTACCCCAGCCGGTCGACCCGACCAGGCCAGGCCAGAGTCGAGCGGTCGTCGCGCCGGCCTGATCCGTTTCGCAGTCAACGAATTCCGTACGCGTCCGCGTTGCGGAACATCCGTTGTACCGACACCCGGCGTCGATAAAACTAGCTCAGTGACGTTTCTGATCCGGTAAACAACCAGCCGGCACTGTTCTTTGTGTGTAGACTCGATGCCGCTTTCGAAAAACGACGATCGACCGTCCCATCACAATTGCAGCATGTTTCCCGTTCGTTTCTCTGTTGACAGTGATTAATCAAAAGAAAACAATATACATAGGAAACGTATTAAGGAACAACTCAATTTTCATCGAAATTGGATTGAGAAAAATTTCAGAGTACTTCTCCAATTCAGATAGTGACTAATTAAAAAGAAACAGGAGATGTATTAGTTGATTAAATTTCTCCTGTATTGTGTCAAAAACAATTGAAATTTAATCGTACTCTCGAACAGCTTCTCTAACTTCTTTAAAAAAAGATAGTTTTATTGTCACAGTGAAATGTTGACAGCGGTAAAAGTTTTCCTGGCGGTCGATCAATTATTTAACTAGCGACTCGAACTTTCGTTTCGTCGTGGGAATCAGTGCACTGTTGGAATCAGGAGAATTCTCATTGGGAATTAAGGTTCATTTATACTATCGACGAGCCGTGAACGAGTCGACCGTTTGACGATGAATTTATCATGTTTTATCATTTCTGATTATTAATTATTATATACATTCGTAGTTCTGTGCTCGTACGAGTCTCGTTCTTGATTAGTTGAAAATGTATTTTCAAAGATCGACGTTCACGCTAATAGAAAATCAATATTTCTTAGACTGGCGAATAATCAGAAATAATAGTAACACATTATGAATCTGTACTTCGATTACTTTCATTCTATTCGGCTCGTTCACAGCTCGTCGATGGTATAAATGAACCTTTAAACAGTGATGCCACGCGACGGTCACGAGACTGAGGGAACTCTCCAGAGTGCCGCGTTAAAGTCAAACTTGATGGTACCGCGATAACTCGTTTATCACGTCTAGGATATTAGTTCACGACTAATAAATCATGATCTAGATTCTAGATTTGACGAGAAATTTTATTTCTTATAGCAACTCGCCTACAAAACTAAATAAGAAACATGAAATAGTTATTGAAATATGAGATTCATTACTGTAAACTATAGTTACATTCATTAATTTCAGATATATGATATCCATGGTATCAATTTATAAAACACATTTTGGGTGGAAATTAAATATTGCATATTCAGGTTTTTGATATTCTGTATATTTTATTCATTACATCCAACGTTTATATTTCCTGTGCATTACAAATGCATAAAATGTCGCAATTTATTCATTAGTGTACTTACTATTATTTCATATCTGAATAAATTATAAACGGTATAATCTCATTTATGTATAGACGTTACATTACTAATTACTTTCCTTGTCGAAGGTGTCTGGGCTGTAGAAAGGAGTGAGAACGCCTAGTCTACTTATACTATGTCTGTTATTTGATTATATCGTATGAGTAATTCATTTCAATTGTTGTCCTATTTTGTTTCAGATTTTGCAACGAATCTCCTGTTGAAGATTGACGATGAATACGTGAAACTTTGAGTGTAGCCCGAAGAACAGTGTATCGTAGACAGATCATACAATAATGCGTCGAAGTTGGAGAAAAGTTTTCAACAGAGGAGAAAGGAGAGGATCGTTGAAGTCGGTGAGGTGATTTATCGGGTGCTGGTGTAATGTCTTGGTGAAGCGAACCTCGAACGAGACAAAGATGTGTTGCGCGGCTGGTGGCGTCACGTTAACCAGGTGCGGCGTGGTTTGCGGTATCGCTGCGCTCGCTGCGTTGAGCACTGCGCTCCTGGGCCCTGCTTGGCTTCACACCGAGGAGAAACTGAATCTCCCTTATTTGCCACGGAACGTGGCGAACAGCGTCAGCGTCCGATTCATGCTGGGTCTCTTCAGGGTCTGCCCGAAGATCGTGAAGCCTGCCAACTTGACGGCCCGTGAGTAGCTTTTCAGTTTTTTCGCATTATGACTCGCAGCAGAAGTAACAGATGATTATATTAAATTTTCAAATAGGAATAATTATTATTGCATATTTAAATAATAAATGTATGAGTAATATGAAGAGATGTATAATAGAAAATAATTAGGAAAGTTCATTCATGTGCTGCGAGTCATTTGCAATTTATTACTCTGTTAAACACAACTGCAATTAGTCAAACGTTACTTTCACGATGTCCATAATCTGGTTTCGCGTCACGACGTTCGGTTAACCAAGAAGCGAGCGACAGGACAGAAACCGGGTTGTCAGTCGAGTTAACAGTTTCATTCGGAGCGCGAAGTTCTCGCCGCGAGTTTCATTCCCTTTTTAAAGGGACAAAGAATGAGATAAGAGGAAAGTGGGAAACTGTTAGGATTACAAGGCTATCTGTATTCATTAAACTCCTATCTCCCCTACTTAGCCCTTGCTAATTAAATAGTCCGACAGAATTAATACGCGATACTCTCGTTCCCCCCCATCTTTCGACTCAGCTCTATCTTAGATGGAAACGCCAACTTTCTTTTATTTCTCTCCGCCGAAAACTTTTTCCCATTCTCTCGGAAAATCTCTATTCAAAACTTTGGTATCGGCCGTCAGTCTCGTCTTCTTTTGTCAAACTCGAAGATTGTCACGCTGTTCGAAGAAGATTTCAATTTGGCATTACCATAATTCTTCTATCTTCTCATGAATTGGAACCTTGTATGTGTTTATATGTACTGAGACTCTTTCAATGTTTGTGACAAAAGATAATTGCGGCCAAGACTTCGTCACTGTACAAGGGTTGACATGTTTAGTTTGTCTCGGAGGTTTTTTGTCAGTTTCTTATTCCACGCGAATGGGTAGATTCCGGAGATTGCCGACGCGTTTAAACTTTTCACGACGCGTATACGCGTCGAAATCTCGCAAGGGAACGCAGGGTAGGGGGTGAACGGTGTTCGCGACAGGCGAAGGATTTTCAGGGACGGCGTCGAGCGAACGTAAAAACAAATGACGGTGGCTGTAAAGCGAGGAGAGCTTCACAGGGTGGTGGAGGTTACATGCCCGGTTGCAACCACCCGGACGATGACAATATCTTTTTATTTCCCTTCGCTGCTTCGTCTCCGTTGCTTCCTACTCTCGCTCGCCTTTTTCCTAGTCGACGTCCAAGATTTCTCTGACTATTGACAGAGACATTCGCGTACACGCGTCTCCATACGATTGCATAACTTCTCTAGTCGAACGGGAAAATGTGATGTTCAATCTTTTCTAGGAATGAAGGAAACTTTATAAGTTTAAATCAATTCATACAATTTATTATTATTTTATTCATGAATATAATTCTGTTTCTGAAAAGAATCTAGAAAATCTGTTTCACTTTATTTTTCAAACTTGAGGCCCATGTGCAATTTTCCGAATTACTTCTTAAAACTTTGGTTAATTTTTGAAGATGTTCCGTTCTCGATTTCCTTCGCAATATTTATACTGAATAAGAGGAGAGGGTCAGTTGGCGAAAGTTGCAAGTGCTGCGATGTCGGCGCCGCGTCTCTTCCTCCCAGTATTCCATCGGGACTCCTGTGGGTCTTGTCCTGTTCGGTATTGCTTTCCTCCTTTTTGTCTGGTCTCCGACTGTCTGACATACCGGCACGAACGGAATCCTCCGGGCGACCGTAGCATACGAGAAATTCACCTACCGGGAAATCAAACGTGTGTGCAAGATTAAATACAATGTCCGTGAATTTTATCCTTTTTAAATTACTTACACAAAACTTATGTTTATAATATTGTCGTTAGCTTTTCTTAGCGAGTTAGTAAAACTAGAATTTCGACTAGATCTGTAAATTACTCGAAATTACTCAAAGGCGATTTTGCTTCACGTTTGTTAAGACGCAGCCAAGCGTGAACTTTGTACTTTTGAAATCGTTCATAGTTTACGAGATATCCTTTTGACGTTGTCATTCAAATTTTGTATTAAACCGATCCAAGACATTGAATCGGTCGATGTTACAAAAGTTTTGAATCTTTGTTAGAAGGCGAACGAGTTTTATTTCCACGGTTTCGCGCGATTAATTTCCTTTATACGATCAAACCCGTTAGACCGGGGAAAATAAATCTGACGCGGAGTCCGGGCAGTGGGAGAGGTATTCCATCGCGGCTCGTTAAAAATGGAAATTACCGGCATTTTAAAAAGCTGATCTCGCAGAGCGCGCACGGAAACGAGCGCAATCGGGCTGGAAAAAGTTGGGTAGAATTTGGCTGGGGAAGCGAACTCGGTCTTCCGTTGAAATCCACCGGCCGATGGTACCAGGGGCGGGGCGAGGTGGACGGGGAGATAACGAGTCCTTATTATCTTCGTCATCACGTTCGGCTTTCGTTTCACCAGCGATGAATCTCCGCGAGAATCACCGCGGAAGAATTGAACGAATTCGGTGCCGTGATTCTCCAATCGTCGACTAATGATAGGCATTAAATAAAACCGTCACTACTCCTCGGTCTGACCGCGCGCGTGCTCTTACTACTGATACGCCGCGTCGCTAGTTGCGCGACACGGTTCTACATACAATCGATGAACATTTCACATATGAAACGATTGACTCAGTGTTGGACGTTAATAAGAGGAGTTGATAGAATCATTTAAAAATTACCATATTTTATTTGTCATAAATGAATTGAGTTTGTTTATAATTGGGTAAAATAAATAAAAAATGTAAGAAATTATTGCTGGTGAAATGGACGTGTACAGGTATTAATTTGACTGAATTAAAATTAGTTGATCAATAGACTAAAATTAGTTTGCACTGGTAGCGTATGATATCTCGATGAAGGTAAACGTAGAGCACGTTTTGACAGGGTTATACATATATAGCGTTATTGATATTAACGCGGAGCATTATGCGTTGACTGTAACATTAAACCCAATTCTATGTCGGTATTGATCGGAATCGGTTACAAGGGCGCGGTGATTGGCAGACCTGCGAATGATTAAACCATGCTAATTGACCGATTACCGCAATTTCGTGTCAACGAACGTGACGCTAGTCTTTAAAGTAACAGAATCGAACGCGTTAACTGACGTTGTACGAGCTCACACGTTCGAATATCTGATTTGTAATTTTAGATATAATTATGATGAATCGCGTGTTAACTAATATAATAATTCCAATTCCACGTATGGTTGTAATTTCAAACAAACTTCGTATGAGAGGTAAAACTCAGTTTCTAGGAAACGTGATCAGTTGTACGTTCTCTCTAATACAATTTGGTAATCAATGGGGGAACAAAAGAAATCCGGTTCAATTTGGCAAGCGGGTACAATCGCGCGTGAAACCGGGAACACCGGTCAAAAAAAGGGAAAGGGATCGAGCAATTTTCTACGTGGACGGTTAACGATTAGTTTCCGAGGGACGTGTGGGTTTCCTCGGCAGCTGTTTCCGGGGCTCCTCGCCCGTCTCTCGATCTCCTCAGGGATAGGATATCGGGTCCGCGAGCACGGACAAAAAGGATTGACAAACGACGCCGCGATATTATAAAACAATTGACGAATGGTCTCTTATCCTCTCGCCCCCTTCGTATCTCCACTTTATTTTCCTGGTTTCTTCATCGTTCGCGTTCTTCTCGTATCGCGACTGGTCCTACCTGATAAGTCGCCTCTTGAGTGAAGACAAATCGTCCGTGTCTCGCAGTTTCGCGAAGAGTAATTAATCGTCGTGAACGTAACGAGCCTCGAGTTCTATCGCTTCCCAGATTCGATATATGATCGACCCAGTGAGTTGCGATTCTGGTTTCCAACCAGTCCTCGCCTTCCCAAGTTCATGACAAGTTCCCCAGTGTAATAGTTGGGATAGCAATTCTCGGTGAAATTTATGTGAACGTTAGAAAATTTAACGAGAATAATGTAATACTTCTCGAAATTTTCAAAAGTTCGTTCTTCGAAAATAGGTCGGACAGAATTACACCTTCGGAACACATTTTAGAACGAAAATTGCCGGTTAACACGTGGATTATTCCAGATTATATTTACGATACGGTGGTTGCAAGAACAGCTAACACCCTAGCGACATTAACATAACGTTGGCAATTTGCATTTATGGCAGGATACTAGAGCGGCAAAGAAACCGGTCGGAGTAAAAGTAGAGAGGAGCTCTCGGGTAACTCGAAATAATGGAGACCGTTATAAAGTTCCAAACTTTTTCCAAAAATCAACATTTGTCTTGCCATTCTTTTTAGTTTTCATTATGAGATTAATCATTCATTATCCTTTTTTTTACGCGTTCTAGCGTGTGTAATTATACGTATGTGGGCGCACTGTTGAATATACGAGCAGGTAAATAGGTCGAGCTTAATTTATTTAATAGATCCAGGCGGCGGCGTGTAAATTAACGCAGTGTTTTATTCGAACCGTTATTCGCAGTTATAATTATTCCATCGGGGATACTGACAATAAATTTCTGATCGAATGTAATTAAATGACGATAAAAATCTTTGAGCTCCATTCGGTGACTCAACGATTACACGTGCACTTTCACTCTTTAATAGTATCTCCTCGGTGCTAAATTCTAGAACGAGAGATTTCACTTGCCGGGTGTCGTTAAAAAGGAAATTCGACAACATAAATCGCAAGCGACAGGTCTTTGTCCGCGATAATAAGGTTATTTGTAATTCCGCCGGGTCGGCTGATCAAATCTTCCTAATTTCCTGGATCCACCCGTTTAAAATTCCACTCGCGTGCTCGCGACTCTCTTTCTGAATGGCGAAACGACGGAGTTAGAGCCGTTGCGGGAAACGGCGGGAAGAAATGTGGAGCGTGAAGCCAGCAAGTTTGCAGGGATGGGAAATTGAAAATAAACAGCAGAAAATGCGGTTAACGGGCATGTGTTAACTTCTAACGAGCGATTCGAATACTCTGAAGCAAATTGTAAAACAGGAAACTGGCCGTTGCGAATGGAATTAAAATATAGATAAAAATCGTTGTAACTTTATACG